GCATTAAACAGGTCTCACCCTGTATACTGTTACAAGGGCACTAGTGCTCTGTTGTGCTTCATATAACTCATACAGCCAGCTGTCTATACTTGATTTATTCATAATTTACATTTTGGATAGGTCCTATTCAAATAGCCAGTCTAATGAAAACTGTTTGGTGAATATCTTGATCTGTATTCCTCTTGTTGCAGTTCTACAGAACAGATTAAACATTTTAATAATGCCACTTCAGCATCTGATGAACATACAAAATTGCCTGTGGTAAATGACTTTAGAGAATTTGTTTTAGAAATGCAAAAGACCATTACAAGTCTCAGAAATCAGGTAAGATGATGTCATGGACATTTTCTAATCTTGCATTTAATTTACGTAATTTTAAATTGCATATTTACAAAGAAGACTTATCCTTCTGTGGCAGTGATAGGCACCCTAGTTTAGTGATTGGGCTGCATGAGTGGCCCTCCTTCATCAATGGGCTGCAAGACAGTCGTAACCAAGACAATCTCCTGAGGTAGGATGGTTTTTCTAACTGCGCTTGTATAGCTAGTATTTGAGGGGGGGGATTCAATTGAATTGTAGCATCATTTTGATTGGATGCAGAGGGAGCACACAGCTCTCATGGTCAGTGTTGTGTGCAATCAGCATGCACCTCACTTTACGTGCACTTGCTTTACATGTGTGTCTCGTTAGTAATACTGTCAGAACAAAACTACAGACTGAAACCAGTAGAATTTGGCAACCCTGCCTATGGGCACTGTTAAACAAAATGTCTCGTGGGCCACAGATATCACTGGTAATACCTTAAATATAAGGACTTCTTCTGCATTCCCCAATCCAAAATTTATTTTGTAATCTTTTGACAAAATGGAACACAAGAACATGGTGTATATATTATGGTTTATTTTTGCATATTTTGTTAATCTTATTTAAAACAAAGATTATACAGTCTGACTTTGTTGACTGTTGTCATCAGAACCTTGCATAAGCAATGCATTCCATGCATGTGGCCATTCTCTGTGTATGAAACTGTTTATAGGATTAGCTTTTTCCGTCATGTTTTTATTGTATTTAAGACCTGGAATTTATAGAATCTGGGTTTATAGTGTGCGTAAAATTTGTTGATTAAACCATATCAGTGATCGGCTGTGCAGTTGATATGAAATGATATGTGCCGAATTGAAATAATACATTATTATATCCAGCATTCAGATATATTTGAAAAGACTTTTAACAGTGTGTCATAAAAATCTCTTAATAATCACACTGACTAAAGTAGCTATAACTGTAGCCACTTTAAAAAGAGGTGCTGTGTTGGGGGGCTAAACACCTCAGCTCTGTGCTTCTTTATCTCCCTGGAGTTGGGAATGTGGGGGGAAGCAAAGTGTCATGGCTCTAAGCCCCCAGCTTCCCCTAATCCAAATGATGGGAGTGTGGGTGGTGAGGCAGCGCACCCAAAGGTTATGCCTTTTTTATCTCCTGAAGCTAGGTGCAAGCATAGTGCCCTGTGCTCTTCTGTGTTTCAGCAAAAGTTTTGTTGAATTTGTAACAGCTGAAGTGAAACTTTTCACCATGCCAAATCTCTATTATATCTTGAAAAACAATGAGGAGTCCTGTGGTAACTTAAAGACACTTTGTAAGCTTATCGCCAAATACATCTCAGGGCATGTCTACAGTAGGCAATTATTTTGAAATAACTAAATTCAAAATAATAGCTCCCGAAATAACAAAATCGAAATAGCATGTCCCCATTACGGGGGAACCTCGAAATTAGTCTGAAGTAGGCTCCATTATTGTGAACGTGATACCTCAATTTAGAGCCCCAGGAAGCACTAGGGAGTAATTACTTCATATTACTCTGGGGAGTAGCTATTTCAAAATAGCAACGGCGGTGCATCCACATGAACGTTATTTTGAAATAACTATTTCAAAATAAGTGTTATTCCCTAAGGAAAGCAGGAGTACAGATTTTGAAATAACCAGCCCATTATTTTGAAATAACAGGCTTAGTAGTGAGGATGCTCCATTTATTATTTCAGAATAAGGGGGGTTATTTTGAAATAACTCCCTAGTGTAGGCCAAGGCTTAGTTTTTAAGGTGCCACAGAACTCCTTGCTGTTTCTGCAGATACAGACTAACAAGTCTACCCCTCTAATACTTGTCATTTTATCTGACCAGTTCTAAAACTGAGTAATCAACCAAATGCACCTACATGAATGTTGTTAGGGGATTGTATATGTAATCAGGAAAAGCTATATATTAGTTAATTTTAATAATTTGTTTTCTGCCTTTAGATAAAGAAACTGGAATCACGTCTCAGTAGAACTGATTGCACTGATGAAAAGGGTAAATCATATTCCAGCAATGAAACCTGGAAAAGGGACTCTTGTACTATGTGTGAATGCAAAGTGAGTATACTGGAATCCATTTTCAGTGTTTAAGACATATTGTGGTCTCTTTTGAAGATATAACCTCGGATGTTGTACCCATAATTTTATAGATTCAAGTCATTGTTTCAATTTATTTGCAGTTAGTTGCTGGGAAAATTCACCTTTCAAATATCATCCATCTAACATTACTTACAAATCTAATAATTAGACATCTACATAAACTAATTTACTTCATTTGGCTGGTGCTTAATTATACTTGTAAAAATGTGGGTGAAAGAGGGAGGCCTGGAAGAAGACATTCCAAAAGCAGCCTCTTACAGAATGTAAACATTGGTAAAAGCTCATGTACTAAAATGTTAGTATTTGCC